TAAAGAGACAAACAGCAGAAAGGCCAATCGCAAAGAACAATGGATCTGTTGCATTTATGTAAAAAAAAAATTGGAAGTATATGCATATATGTAAGTATGTATATGTGTGTATCACTTGTATTTGGATAGAAGATTTCTGAAATTAAAAAAATTGACAAGCAAAATAGAGACAGTCTTATACATAGAGAGCAGGCAGACAGCTCTGGGGGAGGGGTGTTGGGGGATGGAAGGATTGAGCAAAAAAAAAAGAGAGAACTCATGGACATGGACAACAGTGTGGTGATTGTGGAAGTAGAGGGGGGTGGGTGGGGTTGGTAGAGGGCATAGAGGGGATAAAAGGTGATGGGAAAAGTTAAATTAAACTAAATTTAAAAACAGTTACTTGCAGTTACTTGTGGGAAGCAGAAAGAGGATAGTTTCAAATTTTACTTTTATACTTTTCTACATTATGTTTCTTATTTTAAAAACCATGAATATGTATTGCTTTCATAATTCAGAAGCAAAGCCTAACACAAACACTTTACTTCTGAAGAACCAGACCAGTAATATGCTGACAGTTTGATCCAACATATATTCATTTCTCTGGTCCCTGTTCACTCATGGACAGTATAACATGTTGAATTCTATTATAGAGTCAAAACATTTCAAAAATGGGAGTGACTTGCTAAAACCCAGTAAAACAAAAAGCAGTAAAATTCTAGAGTAAAGGAAGTAAAGTTAAATAAGGTAGCTCAATTTTACCTTAAAACTTTTTTTTTTTAATCTTTACATTGATTTAGGAATATATAGGAGAAAAGAGAAAGTAATTATTGCTGTTTTCATTTTGCTTCTTTAAAATCAAGACTAGACAGTCTTCTCTAGAAATTCCTTTCCCTTCACTCCCTCTGGGGCTCTGAAATCAATCAAGTCCTATCCTCTAAGGCCCATTATACTTAGCCTTTCTCTTATGGATACTGCTTCTCTATCCTCAGCAGTTTTTCTTCCAGGAAACTGGCCTCTCTCTCCAAGATTCTGGCTATTAATAAGCAATAATAGCAGCATCAGAAGTAACTTCATCAGTTGCATGCTCAGTAAAAGAGCATGCAGGCAAGGAACAATGACAGAAATTAATGTTAGGACCTGAGTCTTACCCTATAGTAGAGTAATCGGAGATACAATATATTGCATATTACATAGTTTCCAAGAAGTTTCTCCTAAAAATCCTGATCAAGATAACAGCTTTTCTAATGCAATTTCTTTCTGAACATTTAACTATATTGAATTCCTATTTCATTTATGTTAGCTCCTAAATAGTAACAGAAATAGCCAACGTGTGTATAAGTGAAATACAATTATGTCATTTAGGGTATTCTATTTTTCTTCATACCCATAAATTTTATCTTCCAGTATGGCACATAACAGTTTTCAAAATATATAGATGAATAAATAAATGCTAAGAAAGGACTGTCAATTATTTATAAACCCAGCATATTAGAGTTGGAAACGATCCAACTTTTCCAATTCATAAGCATTCTGTAAGCTAACCCTGTCCTATCTCTGGTCACCATCATAACTATCACTGTCACACTCTTAGGAAATGGTTACTCAGTCTCACTGGGAATTTTCTATTGATGTTAAATTCCCCATCTAAGAAATCAGTCTACTCTAGTTTCAGATATACCCTGGGCCTTGGAATATAGACATTTGAAGCAAAAGTATCATTTCCTAACAATTCCCCCAAGTATTTTTACCAGTAATACAGGGTATTTACTTTGTCGTTATTGATGTTCTTAATACTATAAAGTCCTTATTGCTTAATTTGCATATTTATCTCCTCAAATCCCTTGTTTTTCACTCAAAGTTTTCCTAATTAGACCAGCACATCTCTAAGTATATATTATGTTTTACTTCCAATTTCTGTGAGACATTATATAAAAGTCCACTAATACTGTATCATCTCCATTTCTCAAGAATCTGATTCTGAGGAATCAATAATGCTCAAAGTCACAGAGACTGTAATTGAAACAATTGAGATTAACTAAAGGGCCAAAGAGACAGGGCCAAGGGCCAAACAGACAGGGCCAAAATATCTGTTTTAAAAAGCTTCTCTGGCTGTGCTAAAGCATAGTCAGGGTGGAAAACCACTACTCTAGTAATCTGACCCATAGTTTAGAAAACCAAATCCCAATCTCAAAATGCATAGTCAACTGTTCATTTAACCATGTACTTTATGGTTTTTTTCCTTAAGGTTTCAACATCCACTTGGAAAACTAGATAAAAATATAAACCAAAGCCTTAAGTCCTTCAATTTATTGAAAAAACATTTATTTCCACTTTTCAGCATTTCAAACTCTCTAGTTTCTATCTCTGTTTACCATCTCTAATGTCTTTAGGGCATCACACTTGTTGATATATGTAATATGGACACATGTCTGTGACCATAAAACTGCAATCCTATTATTTGAACTGTGAAATCAAGTAAACAAACAAATACAATGATAGCTATTATTCTATAATTTTTAAAAGTAGAGCTATTCAGTCAAAGGGAAAAAGTATTATCAAGAAACTGTGTTCAAGAAATGGTACTGCCAAATCATTATAAGCAAAACATGTACATCTACTCATAGATCATGTCTTGTCACAAGTAAAACAACCATTGTTCTAGGAGAAGATAATTCTATTTTTAAAATTATTTTTTCTTTCCTAACTTTAGTCTCAGTTAAAATATATAGCTAAACTTATCTGTATAGATATAGAAAGGATAGTTGGTTGAATTGTGCCCGCCCCCCATACTTCAAATCCTAACCTTTGACACCTATGAATGTGACCTTATTTGTAAATAGGGTCTTTGCAGATGTAATCCAGTTAAGATGAGTTAGGGTGGACCCTAATCCAATATGACCCTGTTCTTACAAGAAGAGAAGAGACAAAGACACACTAGGGAGAAAACTATGTGATGGGGGAGGCAGAGACTGAAGTGATGAGTCTACAAGCCAAGGACTGCCAGGAACACCAGAAGCTAAGAGAAAGGCATGGAACAGATTCTGCCATAGAGCCTTCAAAAGAGCATGGCCCTTCGGACAACTTGATTTTGGACTTCTAGACTTAAGAACTCTGGGAGAATAAATTATTGTTAATTCATACTGCCCAGTTTTTGATAATTTATTACAGCAGACCTAGGAAACTAACCGAGAGAACCAAATTGCCTGTTTACTTTTATTTTTCTAGTGGAAACATCAAATCAGTTTCTCATACTAAATAAACATCTGATCAATGTATACATAAAAGATATTTAATCCCAAGAAGAAAATTCTTCAACTCTCTCTGCTTTGCACATGGAATATTTATCAATAATAGTGGTTGATAAAAAGTTAAAATTTTAGAACAGGTAGTAAGTCCATGGACACTCAAGTAGAATTTCTTGCAAAATTTGGACTGTATATAGTTTTCATGAAACTCAAAGGTTAACAACCATTTTTTAAAAAAACTATGTTTTTTAACCATGATTTCTGCATAAATTGTATTTTCACAAGTTTCACATAAACTTTAAACTGCTTGATGGGAAACTTCAATGAGAACAAAATTTAGTAGCAGTACAACAGACACAATAATGTAAAAACAATTGGATGACTATAATGGACAAAGCCATTACTTATTTTGTAAGAGTTGAGCTTACTATAAGGAAGCCTGCTTCAATCATTTTGCAAAACGTAGGATAACTACATCACCTATTTATTGAATTATGTGCTGGGTGAGTGCTAAATATCTAAGCTTTTTACTAATGTTATCATCTATCCCATTTAATCCTTACAAATATATTATTATTACCATCCAATTATAAAAGATGTACAAATTAAAGTGAAAAGAGAATCAATAATTTGCCCAAGGTCACACAGCTGGTGGGTCTGGCACAGGGTTAATCAGTCAGTCTTAACTGTTCTATGAATTTGTCATACCTATTAAGTCATATGCGCTGTGTTCTAATTACCTTTTTAATTACAAAAATTTTTTACAATGATAATTTATAAATAAACCTTAAAATATGAGAAATAAATGAAACAGCACTTCTGATTAGAACTATAAATATCTGTGGCATATTAATGACATGGGCAAAAATAGAATGCAATTAAAAGAGAACAAAGGGCTAGTTTTTAATGTGGAAGAAATATAAATTAGAGCCATCTGACACAAGATATGTTGCTGTGATTAAAGAATAACAAGATAAAAATAAGATGTGATATGTAGATGAGTTAGAAAAGGGAATATTAGAGAGAGAAATTTGGCAATGGGTTGCTTATGGAGTAGCACTGTTTATGGGAACTACTACTACTAATTTAGCAATAGTCAATTTAAAGTACTTTTTAAATAGTTAAGTGGATTGTTTAAACTAAGAAAAGATTTAAATCATGATTAAAGTGTAATTCTGAGAAAAGAAGTTTTAGATAAGAAAGCAGAATCTTTTTTTTTAAAGATCCATCCTTACAAACAGAAAGCATAAATCATCAGCAGTTCAGAAAGGTTAGGTGTGTTTTGCCAGAAGGCAGCCAGTGGATAACTACTTATGGTTCTATAAAGCCCAGTGACTGCACAATAATGCTATTCTTATAACTATGAGGCAAGGGCAACACAGCTGCTCTCTCTTTTCTTTGGTGATCAGGATTTGCTGTCCAAAAAGTTGCAGAATAATTTGAATGTAATTAGATGAAATTTTCCCCAACAGAAAAGCAAGAATTAATTTTGACTCTAGTTACTGAAACTCAGAAGCTCTACACTGGGCTTTTTAAACATTTATGGTCTCCTTTACTTAGAAAGCGTTCCTCTAAGTTCAACTTAAAAAGCAGGCGCTTTTGCTGGATAACCTTAGGCCTCTGAGTAGAAATAGCATTAAATAAAAAATTCTGAGCAAATCTTTAGTTTCTCTGTTGGTAAAAAAATGCTTTGAAAAATTCAATTTTAGTGCATTCAACTTAAATTTTTATGAGTTTACTTTATTTCACTTTATATTCATCTACTTAAGTCTTTTTTTTTTTTTTTTCCATGAAGGTGGAGAATGCAGATTCCTTATATTTATTTATTTATTCATTTTCTAAAACAGTCAATTTATCTCCAGGCAAACTTTCCCTTTAAAGGGTAAGGTAATTAATTTCAATTTTGAAAATGACACTGTGGTCCACAATCCTTGGTTGACTGTCCCTTCCCCCTCCCCCAGGAAAAGTAAGTAGCTTGTGCAAGTAACTAAAAATTCAATTGGATCTTTTGATGTAGACTTCTCACAAAATATAAAGCTATGAGGAATGTAAAGGGATGACTTCTCAAGAGGTTTGAAACACTTTAGAATATTTAAAAATAAGTAAGAAAAATGCATGAATTGAAACAAAAATTCATAAACGGTATGGATAATTTTAAAATAAATAGAAAATAATTCTAACTTCCTGAACTATTTAGTATTTGTAGTTCTATGTGTGTCCAAGATAGATATGAAGAGCCCTGTTTTCAAACATAGGAACTTAATTTCTGTTATTAAAATTTTTATTTTGCATTTAGGAATGTAATGTATCCCTATACCATAAGGGCAAAAGCAGCTTAGCGCAATGTAATTTTTGACATGCAACAATGCTCAGGGGAAAAAACAGGAGGGGAGAAATAGCTTAGCTATACTTATATAAATTACTATATTAAAGAACACTTTTAACATTTTCATTAAAACATAATTCTACTTATTTCTACATACTTAATAGAAAACTCAAAGCATCAATATTTCATTGCTTGCCTCCAAAAAATTGTTGACATCCTCTGTGGCCATCTGTCAAGGCGGTCATTCCTTTATATTTGATGGAATTAGAGAAGTATCACAATTCTTGATGAAGGAAAGTATTCTGTGCTGTTGGCTTCTGGTGGTTTATGTCCTTGGTCCTGTTAAAAGGGGAATAAGGATGAATTAACCAATTTTGAACAGAGAGCCAGTTATTTTATATTTCTTTAGTTTCATATTTAAGGACATTTTGAGATTTTATGAGGTCTCATTAAAAATCATAGAATTTTAGTCTTACATACAGGACTTGCTACATTTATGACTACAGGCACAAAAGAGCTGTATCAGTCAGATGATTCAATCCCCATATTTTACGATAGGAAACCGAAATCCAGGGAGGTTAAACAACTTAACCAACGTTACAACCAATTAGTGGCAGAGCCAGCGTGAGAAACCAGTTATTACTCCAAGTTCAGGGTTCTTTCCTTTAGTTGTCTACCTGGGAGGGAAACTGGGAGAAGCATTACCATGCCCAAGCTAATTTCTCAGCCCTAATGCTAGAGAAAAATCTAGAACAAAAAACAACCAACATGATAGTTTATTATTTAGATTACTAATTCAAAGCATGGCACTTGTTCAATGGATGTCTAAGAGATTATTTTATTAAAGTATGATCATCATTTTATTAAAAGTGACCAGTTACCATTACATTTCTGAATTTCATCCAGAGTCATAATCATTTATTTTTCCCAATCCTTAACTACAGCAACACAGCAAAAGAGTGATATTTTTATTATCTGCAGAGCAACAGATTGAAATTTTTAAAAAGAAAACTGGATTTTAGACACACCCTTGGTCAAAACCCTTCAAAGATATCCCATAACATTTAAGATAAAATTCAAAGGTCTTATCTTGCCTCAGATGACTGGGCCCCTGGTTACACTGACAGCCTATCTGATTACTCTCTCCTGCTTGGTATCCCACAGCTCCAGGAGCCTTGTTCTTCTTTAGATATGCTAAACACACTTTTGGATTAGGTCTTTGACTTTGGTCTTCCCTCAGACTAGGACACTTTTTTCTAGATAGGCACACACCTCTTCCCAATGACTGAAACACTCTTTTTTCCATTGAGAGTTCCATGCAGATTTCGGAATCTGCTCAAATGTCACCTCCCAAGGTGGTCTTCTCTTACTATTCTAGCTAAACAACTTCTCTACCGTCCAACACTCACCCCTACTGGCCCTCAATCTCTAGACCCATACCTGCTTCATGTCCATTCATAGTATTCATATTTTCTAGATATTATACAGCCCAACACAATCCCTATGGGGCCAGCTGTGTTTTGGAATTCAGTAGTATTTGAGTGATTAAAGGTAATATGATAAATGTACTCTAATTATGTAACATGTATCACCTCCCCATTTGAGAGATCTGGGACAGTATCCTGAAATGTTAGTATCTCTACAGAAAAACATATATGCATTTTAATTGATACTTTAAAAGAATAAATAGTCTCACCATTTTATAGCTAAATGAGTTTAAGATTAGGTTTTACCATTATGAGTGGCAAAAACTTTCAGAGTATTTTGATTTGGAATTACAGATAAGGGATTGTGGAATATACTACATATTCATTTATTCCTTTATTGCTCATCTCACCCATATAACACATGCTCATAAGACTAGAAATTTCTTTCTTTTTGCTGCTGTATGCGCAGTGCCCCACAGATAATAAGTACTCAATGAATATTAGAAAAATGGATAAGCAAAGGCTTCTGTAAGGATGTTGTCTGTTTTGTTTTTCTTACATTGTAAGTAAATCCTATTCTATAATAACATAATTCTTCTCAATTGAAGGAATAGTTCAAAATATTATTTTAATAGATTCTTAAGATTATTTCTTCTTTTAAGGTTCATTGAAAGAAAAAAATGATAGATAGCATTTAGAAAAGCTGTAGGAAACAACACCTGGACTGTGTGATATAGGGGGAAGAGTTCTCAATTAGAATTCTAGAGATCTCAATTTGCTTCCTTGCATTTCCTTTTTTCCTTTTAAATTCTCACCCAAGGGCATGCTTAGAGAGAGGGAAAGAAAGGGCGAGAGAGAAAGGAGACAGAGGGAGAGAGAGAAGCATTGATTTGAGAGAGAAACACTGGTTGCCTTCTGTACGTGCCCAGACCGGGAATTGAACCTGCAACCCAGGTATGTGCCCTGGCTGGGAATCGAACTAGCAACCTTTCGGTGCATGGGATGATGCTCCACTGAGTCACTCCAGCTGGGTGTGTTCCTATTTTAAATTTAACTACTTATTTATCATTTCTCCATCCATCTAGCTCTTTCTCTTTGATTTAGATATCTCACCATTCTTGACTCAATTTATTATCTATAAATTGAGATGATAGGACTTCATGATCTTTAGTAGTTTATGATTTTACTAACAGTCAAATAATTGAGGCAGTAACCATTCTATCCCAGAAGCTGCCTGGCCATTCTGAAAGACATATATTCTTGTTCATCTAATATACAATTAAAAAAAAAGACTTAGTTTTTAATCAAATATAAACATGTCTGTTTAGCTTCAATGAAATGACATATTTGTCAAATACGTATTTTAATGCCTAACTTTTGTGTAAGTTTCTGCATAAGAGTATGCCTAACAATATTTATTGAGCATTTACTGTGTGCCAGGCACTATTCTAAGCTCTTTACATATATTAAGCTAACAGCAACTCTATTAGATAGGTACTAATACTACCCACTGTGGTAGATGGGATCACTCCTCCCTTTCCCTACCACACATCCATGGAAGGTGTATTTACACCTTTCTGCTCTATGATTGTGTGCTTGCTTTGAATAAATGGAGTAACATCAGGTATCACACAAGCAAAGCCTTGAAATGCACTTTAGCAGTTGGGTTTCGCCCTTGCTATCCTGCCTTTTACTCTGAGAAAAAAGTGCCTTATGTAGTTGTATGTCCAAAAAAGATGAAAGACACAGAACAGAGATGTAGACCCATCCTAGATTAGACATACTCCTGCTTACCCACAGGCTGCTGATTGAGAACTAAATGCTTACTGTGGTATGCCAGTGAGATCTTAGTTTGTATTGCAGCAAAAGCTCACTTACAAACCTCCTTTTTACAGACAAAATGAAGTTCAGAGATTAACTTGTCTAAACTTTCATAATTAGGTGGTAGGGCTGTGATCTAAAGCCATCAACACTGGCTCAAGGGTCTACACTCTTAGGCCCTATGCTATATTGCCACTACATTACACTGGCTGTATTATATGACCCTAAGCTGTTTATTAATATGGCAGTGGGTGATCTGGTACATATGAAAACTCATGAATGTAAATGTAGTCTATCTAATTGTCAATGGAGCCCGGCTGGGCGTGGCTCAGAGGTTTAGCGTCGACCTAGGATCCAGGTGATCGGGGTTCGATTCTCGGTCAGGGCACATGCCCGGTTCTGGGCTTGATCCCCAGTCGGGGGCGTGCAGGAGGCAGCCGATCAATGACTCTCTCATCATTGATGTTTCTACCTCTTTCTCTCCTTCTCCTTTCCTCTCTCTGAAATCAATAAAGATATATTTTAAAAAAAGATTAAAAAAAAAATTGTCAATGGACAAAATGTTTTGCAGCTTTGAGTGAAATGTTTTATCTTGAGACGTTAATAAATATAAATGTAAATAAGTACTGTTTTCTGGAGTGAGATTAATAAGACTAAACAACTCTTGAAGTACCTTCCCAACTCACCCTAGTCTAACCAGTGCTGAGAGCTCTACTACATGAATCTACCTCTGACCTTGACTGACCAATTCAGGCATGTGTGACCCAATCTTGATCAACCAAGTTTCTGTTAATATCTTGAAATTTGGACATATGACTGGGAACCCCCAGTAATGGGTCTACTCTGGAGAAAGCTGAAATCCCAGAGCTACCCTTGTTCCTTTCCTTCCCACCTGTCAATTCCATGAGATACTCCAGGATCTTTCCAGATGAATGCCTGCCCTTTATGAATAAGCTTGCACAAATCTGTTTTTCTTGTTGCCACCAAAAGAAAGTTAACCAAAACAGGCTTTCGGGAAAAAACATACCAGTGTTCTTTTTGTTGTAATTATCAAAATTATAAGAAGGCTTTCTTAAAGAGCCCCAGTAAAGTTTGCTTTTGTTTTTTTGTCCTATCCAAGTAATTTTACAAGTTGTAGTTACGGACTGTGTGTCCTCTGATACTACTTAAAAATTCTTCCAAATTTTAAAAACCAGGGGCCATGGATCTTAAGAGTCTGGACAGAATTATATTTTAGTAGAGGTGAATATAATAGATTCCCTTTGTAATGCTATGTATTTTAAAACACTTTATGTAGAATGAACTTTCTATTTTCCTTTTGATACCACAAGACAAGTGAACATACAGGATTATTTGTGCCACTGATTAACTCAGAACTACTTATGAGACTCAAACATGTTCCCAGACATTGTTTTGGGTACTGAGGACAGAGTGAGGACAAAACAGACAAAGTCTCTGCCCTCAGTGAGTAGTGATAAGTGAGAATATATGGAATTTAATTTGAAAATTTCATGGTACTACTAGTAATGAAACTGGAACATCCATATACAGTGTGGAGATAAAGAGTATATTAAATGTGTGAGCATATGGAGGTAAAAATCCTAGAGAAAGTTTATGTGCAATCTTTAACCTAGACCTAATCTTCAAGAGGGATATATCAGAATAATGAGCCCTGCCAGAAATCATGTAAATAATGAAGTGCAACCATCACCACAAAGGCCATGTTCATGTTACACTTCTTACTTCACCACTGAGTTCATATCTATTATTATAGTATGACCTCTTATTACTTCTTCCAGATGACTAGGAGAGAAAACAGAGACTTAGAGGTTTGAAGAATTTGACCACTTTGAGTAGTGGTAGAACCAGCTATAGTCTGGTTTCCAAGTTTTCCAGTTTTACTTCCATCATAACACACTATATCATCTAACAAAAGACAATTAGTTTCAGAGCAGGCGGTGCTAAAATTTCTTTTAATTTACTTCTGTGAACTACTTATGAAGTGGGAAAAAGAAGCAATATTACTAGGAACATCTTTAGTCAGCAGGCAGAAGCTCAAATCAGGAAGAACTCTGGGATGGCTTGATAGAG